GCTGGTACTGTAGTGTGCAAGTAATCCCGCAATTGTGCCTTGAGCACGTTGCAATGCGGTTTCGACAACGACCAGTCCAAGGAAGGGGCATCCATTGGAAGTCCGCGAACGTCAACGGGTCGAGTTCTTCAAGTCTTCACCATGACGTCGAATCCTCAGCGATAGATGGTGGCGAAGTTGCCGAATCGATTGTCGATGGTGGTGAAACCGTGCATGTCGTGGATTGTTGCATGTGGAGTGGTTGGTCCAATGGTGGGACCAAGTGCACATCGTAATCCTCGTAAGTGAACCAAGGACTCGCAACATCCGCATTCTCCCCAAATGTGTAGGAGGCCGCTAGCAAGGCGGACGAATCTGGCTGAGTGAGAGGAGGAGTCGCCTCAGTCCGCGCAACTCAGTTTCCCGAGTTGATGCGAGGTCGAACATCCTCCTTGCCTTGATCCGAGCATTGGGAGGTCATGTGCTTGGTGCTGATGCACCATTAGTAGCAGCCGTATCGACTGTGGTACTGGTGTTCGGCCTCGGTCAAGTTGAACTTGACCCATGGTACTTGCTGTCCACTTCTGGTCGCCGATGCTATTTTCACCTTCCCTTTCCCACGGGAGTTGTTGCTTCGCGATTGGACGGCGGCCACTAGATCTCCCTCATGTGATGCTGAAATGGTTGTCGGGTCTTCCACAAGGTCTGCAGCAGTCCGGTTGGTCTTGATGATCTCTCGTGCCTTGTCGATGATTTCTGCAAAGGTTGTGTATTGCTCCCGGTCACGAAGTGCGAGGCTCAAGGTGGCACACGACCGGTTGCCGACGCAGATGCGGAAATGGTAGGTCGAGATCGGGCGTTGCCACGATTGTTTGCCACTCCGTGAGCCAGTCACGTGTTGGTGTGTTCCCTTGAGTCATGCTGAAGAGGCGGTTGATGGCGAGGGCCGGGGCGTCGTCAACGATGAACCGCTCCTTCCATTGTCTCATCAGATTTTCCCAAGAGATCTTCTTGTGTAGATCAGCGACCTGGACGCCGTGGATGGTTGCCAGGTGGCTGAGCCAGATCTAGCATCCGCCCTTGAGTTGAGGAACAACGCGCGATGTACGAGTGCTCGGGGACGTGATGAATCCGCAGTTTTGTCATAAGCCCTCCCACCAGGGGACCGGGTCTTGATGCGTATAGTCATAAAAAATTTCGATCCGGAATATCTACTTTGTACTGCTGCGGACTGGAGCTCCCATCGTGCTCCGGCGGCTGGTACACTTTCCGAACCTCGTTCTTCAAGGCATCAAAAAATACAACCCCGCTTTTTTTTTAACTTTTTGAAAAAAAAAAAAAAAAAAAAGCTGCTCGCTGATGGTGGCTGGTACGACGAAGGTGCTGATCTCGACGAGCATTGTGACTACATGGTCAACTCGTTGCTCCAACTGGCGGGTTGAGGCTGCATTGCTGGGTTCCCCAGCGTCTGGTTTTGTGGTGCTGCTTGCTCCAACTCCTGTAGATGGGAAAAATAGCACCCTCGTGCAGATCCTTGTGGTTTCACACTGCCCGTCGGAGGTTCTCCAGGTCCTGGTGATGTTTCTCTAACTCAGACTGCAGGTGGTTACAAGGTGTAAACCAACTGGGTCATGAGTTTGGAGAGGAACTCCTTGTGCAGCTCTTCCGGTGTTGCATCGTCATGCTCCTCGGATGGTTCAAAATGCCAGGACTTCAGCTTGCCGACGCTGGCGGCTTCGTATCGCTGCAGCAGATCCTAGGTCTCCTTGCGGTGTGCCTTGGCATCTGCATCAGCTTCGGCCTGAAGCCGCTGCTTTTCAGGTGCTGCCGCCGCTACAGCTTGTAGGCGAGCAGCTTCGGCTGCCGCCTGTTGCTGTACCTCAGCCTCGATCAGTGCAAACTGAGCTAGAACCCGCTGTCGGTACTCGTCAATGGACTCGTTGGCAAATTGGCCTGTCATGCCCAAAGCTGAAACCGTCATGGTGGCCGGGCACTGCGGACGTTGGTACTGCTGCTGTCGTGGCACTGCTGATGTGGCACTGTTGCTGACATGGCACTGCTACTGTCATGGCACTGCTGACATGGTGCTTACCAAGCCGGGAATGCAGGCAAAGGATAGGGTGGGAGGGAAAACGCAGGAAGGTAACCAACCAGACTGTACTTTCCTCCCGGTCCTAATCAACAGAATAAATAAAAATAAAAATAAATGTCATCCACACAAAGTCTTCGTTACAGGTCCCAAATAATCCCTCGTCCAATGTCTCAATCCAAATGTCGTAAAGTCCCAAAGTCACCAGCCTCTCTCTCTCTCGTAGTCTGCAGATACTGAGAAGTCAGGCGGCGAGAGGGTGAGGGAGAGATAGTGGACTTAGAGGAAGAAGAACTCTCTCTCTCTCTCTCTCGTAGTCCGGTACTAACCTGTGAAGATGGCGCCTTGTTGCAGGTACATCGAAGACGAAGCTGGAGCTATGGCGCCACAGGTAAGTCTCCCTGGCCTCCGCCAACTCTCTCTCTCTCTCCAACGCTACTCTAGCTCCTACTAGCGCCCAGCGCTGAAGACTACTCCTAACGCTACTACTACTACTGCAGCGCTCCTCCAGAGTGCTGCTGCCAAATCCTGAAGACTGCCTCCTGCCTCCTGCACGTGAAGTGCCCGTGAACTGCCTGGGAATTCCCTGTGAGCTCCCTCTAGCCTGCAGGGCGGGCCAGTTCTATATAGTGCTGGCCCATCCGGGAGGCTGCTCTTGCCAATGCCGAAACATGCCAGACCCTGGCGTTCGAGTTCAAATAAAGGTTGTCTTGAAACAGACCCAAAAATGGTCTGTGCTAAACCCTGGTCTGGCGCCTGAGTTTCAGGGCAGGTCAACTTTATGAGGGCCTGCAAATGGGCCCCGTTTTCAGGCTTTCAGGCTGAAACGACACAGGGCCTGTAGGGCCCTGATTTTCCGCCTGGTCGGGCCCTGCAGGCCCATGTGGCTGCGCAGTATGCCACATAACAACGACACAGGGCCTGTAGGGCCCTGATTTCCGTCTGGTCAGGCCCTGCAGGCCCATGTGGCTGCGAAGTATGCCACATAACCCAGCGAGCATTTGCATATTCCGGATAGCCGCTCTTCTGATTGCATGTCTCCTTGCGATGTTGTAAAACGAAAGATCTAAACCATATTCGCGGCGCATGCACGCAAGTTGTGCACATGCGCCGCACAGCGCATGCGCACACGTGATGCAGCGCATTTACGCAATAATAATAATAAAAAATCAGAAAGGGTAGGCCATGCCCTTTTAAAAATTGTTTATGCACAGAAAGGGAATACTTTGGGGCCACATTGTTCTCCTCGTTGGATTTAGTATCTTTTCCAAAAGGTCCCCTGCAAAGACTTAGCGGGGATCCCATTCATTTGGAAGAACGTGAATTGAACTGCTGGAGGAACACGAGCAGGCAAGCAATATATCCTGGATTCGGATTCAGGTCTGTGTTCCAAGAGTTAGGGGTTACGAACTTACTACAAACCCTACAGTAGCTGTCTCGTCTTTTTGTTTTTTCTTTTTCTTACGTGCAGTGGCACTAAGGGCCTCGCTCCACTCATCAGCACTTGCAGAAAAGAAAAACGTACGACTTGTATGGTTCCAGTTTCTAGGAGCAGATTCATTCTAGTTTTGCACATACAGTGCGTAGTGGACTGAAGCCCTGAAAATCACATGCCGAGTTAGTCAGTAATCCATAAATGCTCAAACACGGACCTGAACTCGAAGCTACACCATATATAGGGTACTCCTTACTACAAGTCCAGTGACAACACGTCCAGTGCAGTGGCCCTAAGGGCCTGCTCCCTCCTTACTACAAGTCCAGTGACAACCCATCCAGTGACCACCCGTCTCCTGCCCACGGGACCCTTGTCAATTTTTGGCAGGGACCTTTTGAAATGCCGGCAGGGGTTGTCTGATTAATGTGAAAGGGCTCTCTCTCTCTCTCTCTCTCTCTCTCTCTCTCTCTCTCTCTCTCTCTCTCTCTCTCTCTCTCCAGCGTGTATACACACATCACGGTTGCTTCTTTCTTTCTTTTTTTTGCGTCCGCGCATCTGCGATTAGCGCACTGCGCACCGCACTTCATCTACGTGCCGCAAGTATGATCTAAACATTAAAGCACCAGTACTTTTGAGCCACTATATCCCAGGGGTCCAAACCCCTACGCCCCCCAAAAAGTTCAAACTGGCATGGGCCTCATCTTCACAGTGGATGTCTACTATGCGCAAACTTTTTCTTTCCCTCATTGTTTTTTGTTTCCCTTTGACGAGTTAAACCACCAGCCCATCCGACTCTAGACGATCCAAAAAACGCATTTTGCTGAGCCTCCTAATCTAAGATGGCACCGGTACCAGCAATGTGTGTGACAAAAAGGACATCCAGGCAGGTGTCAGCGTCTTGGCACTTTCGCTTTTATTGTGGGCCCACCAACCCACCCCCCACCCCCACCGAACCTCTGCCGGGCCTGAGCTCTGTAGATCTTGCCCCGTACTTGTCGACAAGTAAAATCTACAGTGCTCCTGCCATTGGACTTGTAGTTTTAAGTTTTGTTCACTGAAGAAGGCAGCATACCAGCAATGTGTGTGACAAAAAGCACATGCAGGCAAGTGTCATCGTCTTGGCACTTTCTTTTTTATTGTGGGCACATCAGCCCGCCCCTGCCGAACCTCTGCCAGGCCTGAGCTCTGTAGATCTTGCCCTGGGACTGTCGGCAAGTAAAACCTATACAGTGCTCCTATCATTGGCCTTGTAGTTTAAGTTTGTTCACTGAAGAAGGCAGCATACTTATCGCCCCAGCATTTTGATAAACAGTACTAAGCACACATCGTTCAGTCAGGAGCCAATACAACAACAGACTTCAAAATTACATAACTGCAATTTCACTTGGCATTTTGCCCAATTGCTATGATACGGCCAAGCCTTAGCTGAAACAATTTGCCAATTTAAGTTCCTCCTCTTGCAGGGGCTGATGTTTGAATCCTATGTTTGAATCCTACCTTTTAACGATTTCTTCTCCTCTGTGAGTTGTGAGATCATGTAGATAGCAGCAGCCGCTACCGATATCGGACTCTTCCTGCAAAGACGATAAAACAATAGTCAGCTCCTAGCAACTCGGCAGAAAATCGACAAAACTACTAGGAACTGTTGAAATACAGACGTGAGCTTGAGTCCAGATGGACTTGTTGAATGAATTCCTGAGCTGCCTGGGGCCGGTAAGTTCCACGGTGTTATTGCAAGGCCGACGCCCTTGTCTAGGACAGGTAAAATGGAAAAAGAGAGTAGAAATGGTGACTGTCTGCTCCTCCATAAAGAGAATGCATGTTCAGCCAAATGCCAAAGCATATCTTCTTGCATCAGATTATTAACTCTTACCCGCTGGCATATCGCAAATGACGAGAGGATGAAATGATGACCAGTTATTGGCAACAAAATGAGAAAACAGAGAGAGGACGATGGATTTTCATCTCTTGCAGGACCAGAACACCGCACTCACGACAGGGGCCGCTGCAGCTTTGGCCCCCCTCGATCACATATTTCAGCCTACCTTGTCACTTCACAGTGCTTCAAGCACACCTCTTCACTTGCCCCTACACACCCACCACTTTTACCAATTCCCCTGTGCAATTCAACATTCTGCAGGCAACCTCTGCACTACCCACTCACCTCCCTAACTGTGGCATACTGCGTAGCCACACGGGCCCTACAGGGCCCGTCCCAGACAGTCAGCCTAAAAGCCTAAAACTTAGGGCTTACAGGCCCCGGAGACATTTCAGCCTGACAACCGAATTCAGGCCCTACAGGCCCTAAAACGGTTGCCAGACTGAAGCCTAAAATCCATCGTCCCCACCTGACTTCTCAGTATCAGCAGGTTACTACCGAGAGAGAGCGAGTTGTGACTTGAGACTTGACGACATTGGATCCAGACTCAACCTTGGGATTCAGACATTTCGACGAGGGACTATTTGGGCCTGTGCTGAACACTTGGTGTTGACGACATTCCCATCTTCCCCTCTTCTTCGTCTAAACCCCATCTTCTTCGTCTGTGTATGGTTGGGACTGGCGCAGTCTTCCTGTGTGAAGCGCCAGACCCCTTCACACCATGGAATGNGGCGCAGTCTTCCTGTGTGAAGCGCCAGACCCCTTCACACCATGGAATGATGATGATGATGTATGTTTGGGGCTGCATTGCAATATTGATTGTTCGGATCATTGGTATCTAAGTCTTCCGCTGTGCTATTTTATACTTTGTATTGAAAGGTCGGTTCTTGTTCTGGTCTGCACCTATACGGTATGCAACACTAACACCCCAAGATCTAACAGACCCCCTAAAATCCCCACAAACTACTTTGCCTCAACCACCCTCATGTCTTGAACCCCTACCTCACTCACCATTCCACTGGGGCCCCTACACATCCTGCCACCCATCTTGGCACCTCCATGACAACTAGACTGATGTTGGCATGCTTGTTCATCCCCTCTCCATTGCCAGCCCCCCCACCAAACACCAGACCCGTAAAGCCTAGAGGACCACAGGACTCGTGAATAATTGGTGGTCACAGAGAGAAGAGGAAGATACGTTACTGTGTAATGATTTTTACTGTCACTGACTCACCGTCATCATCAAAACCACCCTCCTATGTAACGATTTTTACTGTAACTGGATGTCACCAGTACTATAATCCACGACAGGGGAACCGGAGGACAGGACATTGGGGGGCGTGGAGGGGAGGGAGGGAGCAGAGGAGGGAGCGGAGTGGGAAGCAGAAGGGGCCTGCCCTCCCTGCTGAAGTCAGGAAATGCAACGGTTCCTGTGAGAGACAGATCTTACCTGATATCTAACTGCTCAGTGATCCTCTTCACAACTTCCGAGGTGGCCCGAACAGCTTCATGTGGCATCCCAAGATGTGAACAAAAACGCCTCTGTTTACAGCAACAAGAAGCAGAGGAAAAACAAGAACGAGGAAGCTAAGAAAGGAAGGAGCAGAAATATCAGGACTGTGCACATTTGTGTCGTATCCACACCAAGTACGCACACGTAGCACATACATATAACAATTGTCACTCGTTAACCAAACAAAGGGATGATACACAAAAATGGACAAACCAGTAAACACACCTGGACCAGTTTCTCAAACTCCCTGCCGTTATTGTTATATATTGTGTACACACACACACACACACACACACACACACACACACACACACACACTCTCCAAGATGAATTGCACCCATAACCATGTGACTGTCCCCAAGCCCAAAGTCCAAAGCCCAAAGACCCGTGAAAAAGTGATATGAATGTGACTATGCCCAGGCCCAAAGAAGACCACACACATGACTCGTTGTGACTCAGTCACACCAGAACCGCCAACTCGAACCACCCACTCTCCTTGGGTGGTTTCGGTACGTATTGTGAGTATGGCCTGGATGCACATGCTCCCGCTTGTTCTCAAAGACATAGAAAGACAAACCTGGAATGGTCCCGACAAGGAGATTCTCTGTCATGTCAAACTCCGGAAACTAAATTGCCCAATTAAACTTCCTACGCCGATAGTATGGGGTGGGTGTTCATCGCTCAAACCAGGTGACGAAAAAATATGGCATTATGCAACCACTCATGGCGACAGTGTCTGTCCTGCCACCACTAATGGCGATTGTGTCTGTTGTGCCGACCTACAAGTGGCTGTGTGAACAGCGCCAAGCAGATAGCAGCTATTGAGTCAAACATCACGGGGACTGTACACTGACGGAAACATATCAAATCCAGTTTGAACAATTATCAATGAACATTCACGTGGTGCTTTCAGGTTCCTGCTTTGCAGAAAAATCACATAAGAGCACACCTGCAAGTACGGAGCGACACCAAATCACAGACCATGCACTTACCAAATAACTCTCTGGATGAATTGTACCCATGCCCATGCGAACGCCAATCTCCTCTTCAAGCTGTCGCACAATGAACTTGTAACAACGACCAATTTCTTTCTTTGAAGCATCTCTCGCAACTGCACAGATCTCTGCAGGATCGCAAGGAAAGATGTCCACAACATAAAACGGTCAACAGTCATCCTGAATCATTCCTTCAGGCAGAAATCCACCTTTGTGAGTCAGGAAGGGAGATCAATATGCTCACTCCATCTCTCTCACATAGTTACTAGGACTTTATTTGCTAGGCTGTTTTTCCCAACCAAGCACCCTTATGCCCGGGTACACACTCCGGTGCCCGGCTGGGCATGACCCCAGACAGAGTTCCGGGCAGCCCCAGCGCGCGCGCAAAAAAAAACAAAGAAAAGGGGGGGAAATTCAAAAAGTTATGGCGGAGAATTGCAATACAAACGACTTTTGGCTGAGGATCACATCACAATTCCTCACAGAATAGGAGATAGAAAAGTATAATGGAATCGCACGAAGGCACCCCCCTTTAAACCCCTCTAGCCCCTTTAAAACCAATTTATACCCCCTTTCCCCCCATTGACGGAAAACTCTCAAAAAAAGAAATGAGCCCTGATTTGCGGTCCTCTGGGAGAGCACAGCCCGGTCCCCCCAGGCGTCAGACCCCCCCGGGCATCATACCCGGGTGCCCAGCTGCGCAGGACCGGCCGGGCATGACAACCTTCCTAGCTTTTTTTACATAAACACTCTACATGCTGCTGACAAAACTGCACCACATACTCATAGAATATACAGAAAAGTTTAAAAACTGTGGTATACAGTGGGAATATTTGCCCTATGCGCTGGGGGCCATGTTCAAAACGAGGGGCACAATTGAGCAGCTACCCGTCAAGGCCCATGAGCCCATTTCTTAAAGTGTGCAAGTCATCCTTTAACACCCACCATGCTAAAGGTTCTGTATATAATTTCAATTCCACAGACAAGTTTAGCTCCCATGGATAGAAAGTATGGCCACTGTTTGAAAGAGAAGCAAAATGGATAGAAAGCTAGGCTGGGCCGCCGTCCGGCCGGGCATGGCCGGCCGGTTGGGCCCCGGCAGGTTGGGCCCGGGGGGTCCGCCCGACGAAACCGGGCGACGCAAAAACACAGCAAGGAATTTTTTTATTTTTTTTTGAAGGCGGGGTTGTGCTGCGCTACCCTAGAGGACCACGAATCTGCAATAAAAAAGTTAAGTTGGGGGGGGGGGGGGGGGGGGGGGGGGGGGGGGGGGGGGGGGGGGGGGGGGGGGTGCGGGGGGAGGGATGTCAGCGGGGAGTCTGGGGGATGTCAATGCTAGCATGTCACAGACCTTGCAGGTGTTTATGTGGAAGAAGAAGAAGAGGAGGAGGAGGAGGGAGGAGGACGAGGAGGAGGAGGAAGAAGAAGAAGAAGGGTGGAGTATGGCAGGAAGAAAGATTGGGCGAGACGAAGTTGGGGGATATGGCCATCGCCGGGGAAGGTCCAAAACGCGACCCCACGTGGCACAAGACACGGGAAAAAAAAAAAAAGGAAACGGTGCGAGGGACGGCGGGCAGGGTTGGAGGGGGGGAGAAGAAGAAGGGAAGAAGAAGAAGGGAAGAAGAAGAAGGGAAGAAGAAGAAGGGAAGAAGAAGGGAAGGAGGGGGAGAAGAAGAAGAAGAAGAAGAAGAAGAAGAAGAAGAAGAAGAAGAAGAAGAAGAACGGGCGAGAAGAAGAAGAAGGGAACAAGGGAAGAAGAAGCGAAGAAGAAGGGAAGGAGGGGGAAAAGAAGAAGAAGAAGAACAAGTGAAGAAGAAGAAGGGAGGAAGAAGAAGCTAAGGAGGGGGAGAAGAAGAAGAAGCGAAGGAGGGGGAGGAGGAGGAGGAGGAGGAGAAGAAGAAGTTGAAGCAGCCAAGGGGGAGAAGAAGAAGAAGACGGCTGGTGGAGGGCGGCGGGAAGGGGGGCTCGAAACAGGGGCAAAGAAGAAGACGACGAAGAAGCGAAGTAGAAGCGAAGAAGAAGAAGAGGAAGAAGAAGGAGAAGAAGAAGAAGATCTCTCTCTCTCTCTCTCACACACACACAGACACACACTTCCTCGTCGTGGCACGCGTCGGGGGGGTCAGGGCGCGTCGGCGGGCAGTGCGATGGCGTTCATGGCGCGTCGACTCCGTTGGCGGGCAGCGCGATGGCGTTCGGGGGGCGTCGACTCCGTTGGCAGGGGTGCGGTTCGACGGCAACGTCGAAGGCTGCACTCGGACGAAGTGAGGTGTTGGGCGGGGTACGAAGGCAACCACCTAGGCCTGCGCCAGGAAGGCGGGAAACCAAAAGCAGAGTGGGAAAAAAAAAGGGCCAGCAGGCCCGATTGAAAGATTTGAAATCGCGGCGCAGATGGGCCCCGATTTGAAATCTTTCAAATCGGGCCTACCGGCCCTTTTTTTTTTTTTTTTCCATACACGGCCCCCTTTGGGGGGGAGAAGGCCCCCCGCGACAAAAAAAAAAAAAAAACGCCCTCGAGGATGCGCTGGGGTCGCCCGGTGACCAACCGGGCGGAACGACCGGCCAGGCGGCCCGGCCCCCCGCCCGGGCGACGAGCCGGGCGCCGGGCGGCCCGGAGTTCAGCCTTGATAGAAAGTGAATTTGGTTCTGTGTCTCTCCGTGTCTGATCCACAGAGCTTCAGGCTAGCCAACATATCACTGGTAGGTCCCATTGGTGCTATGTGCCTGCGTTATAAGGTCACTGGTTGGTCCCATTGGTGTTATGCGCCCTGCACTATAAGTTATCATGAACTTAGGGCCTCGTTAGACACTCCTTGGGGACGTGAAATCCACAAGGACGTGCTCGTTCCACCTGTCCTTGGGGACGAAATTGAAAAAGAAATGTGAAAACGCCACAAGGAAAATTCCTTGTGGCATCCTTGTGGCCCCAGCCATTTCTTCCTTGTGCCCAAGGGACCTCACGAGGTCCCTTGGGCACAAGGAATCCGCATTTCACGGAGAGGAGAGGGCACACGGGTAGATAGACGTTACAGCTGAGAATCTGGATCGTGGCGGCACCCTATTGGCTGAAGGCCTGAAGCACAACTGTTTTTTCTTTTCTTTTCTTCTCTTTTTTCTGACATCAGCTTTAGGAAATGTCCTCGGGCGACGTCCCCAAGGACAGGTGGAACGAAGAGCCCAAATTCCCTTACGAGCCACAAGGAAAATTCCTTGTGGCCCAAGGAATTCGTAAGGAGTGTCTAACGAGGCCTTTAGCCAGGTTTAAGATTTGATTCGTGTTCCGTGAAGAGGACTGGTTGGTCCCATTGGTGTTATGTGCCCTGCACTATTAGATATCATGAACTTAGCCAGGTTTAAGACTTGATTCGTGTTCCGTGAAGAGGGCCCCCCATAATTCTGCACACCGAAATTGGTGTCTGAGGTTGTTGTTTGGACGTTAAATTGTGGTCCAAGGCAGCAGGTTTGCAAGTCGGGTGGATTCGCCATGAATACGTTGTTCGGGACAAATGTCTGACCTCTGAATCACAGGCCCTGTCACTCGTGATCCAAGGCAGCAGGTTTGCAAGTCGGGTGGTTTCGCCATGAATTCGTTGTTCAGAACAAATGTCTGACCTCTGAATCACAGGCCCTGTCACTCGTCTTCCTAGGCACTTTTTGGCATATTTCGAGGAGGTAGAGAGAGAGAGAGAGGTGATCATGATTCTACTTTGATTTCAACCTCTCCCTGTCCTAAATGCTCTGTCACTCGTTCACATTCTGGTAGACTGATTTAAGAAGGAAACAGGGCTCACAGTTCAAACTCACTATGCAGAGTTGCGAGGCGGCAACAGAACAATGAACGTTGAACATCGAACTCAAGCAGCCTGGGCTCAATGGACGTTGAATTTCGTCAGCAGAAGTGTACAGCAGCCATACACATGAGGTGTCGCAACGATTACAGAGAGAAGTCTCCAACTCACTAGTGAATCCCATTCTATCCACAACTGTCATCATTCCAACCTCTTCAATTTCCCACTATGGTTACAACGTACGATCTCAATTTTCGATTAGGAAATGCTTGCCAAATGTATTTACACCACAACCTCCATAGCTGTCAAGTCCTTTCTCCCTCCTGTCACCAGTTTAGAGCAGGGCACACCTCCTATTCTAAGTCATGGCCGTGAAACTCTCTCTACCTTTGCTCACCCTTTTAGCCTCCACCTTATGTATGAGGCAAGCACAGGTCTTGATAGGTTCTTGCCCCACAGCTGGTCTTTTGTTGGTCAACAGACCTAGTAAAGCCCTTCTTCACTGGTCACCTCTCCAAAGCCATGTCTGGTCTCTAAGATAACGAATAGAGACTTCAGGACCAACTTCACTGGTCATATCTCCAGAAGCCATAAATCTCATCACTGAGAGCATGAATAGACACTTCACAGAATGAGTCACTTGAGCACAAACCATTCGCAATTAACAAGTGTGAATTGCAAAGATTTTACACCTCGGCATACCGGCATAAGGCCGCTGCAGCAGGCGCATGCCCGCCCTAAGTGAAGGCGGGCCACCAGAATCTCAGTGAGCCCTGAACTCGTCATTTTTTGCAAATCTCTGTGTGCGCCAGACAGTTGCCAAGCGCCAGTTGGTTACATCTGCCTTGCTCGTGAAAATCGGAAATATTCATGAGCCTTCGAGGCTCTTCCAGCAACGTGGTCGAAACAGTGAACACCGCACGTTTGTGCCCAGGTGGTTGTGCATGACTGACCAATCCAGTCCCCGGTCACTATCTGAACGAGCCTGGGACGCAGACACTTGGACCGAAAGTGAAGCTACTGGAAACTCGGTCCAACGAGGCAGGCTGTGAGCAGCACCCAGCCACTTTCCATATAGGAAAGTGCTGGGCAGCAGGGGAGGCATTCGGCACTTGCGTAAGCAAGCGGCAGCACTGCTGGAGCGTGAGCTCGTGGGCTGCCTGCTTAGCGCTAGGGGCAAGTGCACGCGCATGCGGTCGTGCAAGCAGCAGGGCACTGCTGAGGGGAACGCCATAGCCAGCCCTACATAGCCAGGGCTTGGCTTGGATGTGTAGCTGGCAGGGTGGTGGTGGTCTTCATGTATGAGGACCACGTACGAGGAAGAAGACGAGGGAGAGAAAGAG